TAAAAATAGACACGGGAAAACTATTTTTCCATTTGTCTTACTGGTTTATGTTCTCAATAACTTTATGATGGTTGAAAAATAATTTTTTTGCCGGGGTTGTTCACTGAGGAATTGCCGTACAGATCTACTGGAAATTCCTCTGGGAATGAGTCGCGACTCGTCTTCTCCCTACAGAGATAAAGTCTCCTAGAAAATCTCGATGAAGTCATATCTGGCAGCGGCATTAGAAATAAGGAGCTGCTTTTTACCTGAATCACCATCATCTGGAGCTCGTCGGTTATCAGTCCGACGAGGGGTGTTCCAGAGCTACATGGTGAATCAGCAGAACAGCAGCTGGAATATTTGTGCAACCCACCTGATACCATAAAGGATGTCAGAAAATTGGCGGCATGCGTGAAAAGGCCGGTTACAGAAAGCAGCGCCGACTCTGGTAATAACGAGTAACGGTGACGCGTCAACGAAACAACGGCAAGAAATCACAAAAAAAAGTTGATCCGAGGTGTAAAAGTGAAGCTTATGTTTGATTGCTGTTAAGTGGCTTTAGGGATAATGTTAATGCCGGCTTCGGGGTGAGGTGAAGGTGAAAGGGGAAGGGCGGTGGGGCGGTGGGGAGGGGACGGAGGCTCCACTGTGCTGGTGTGGTCCGTGGGCTGGAGGGTGGAGGGTGGAGGGTTTCGCTGGAGCTGAAATGTAATGATGTGGATCATGGACAAACATGGCCTCCTCTGAGAGCTGGTTTGTTTGAGGAGAAGATGCCACAGTGGGACCTGAGCTGACATGATTAAAGAAGAGGAGACCTAATGCCTTCCACAGACTCAGCTGGTTCGTCTGCGGAGGACGTGTGAAGCTTCATAAATAAGGATTTTCTAGTTTTTATAGGCTGCTGTAAATACACCTCGAAGATTCAGACGCTTGAGAATCCCAGGAAGCAGAGCCGACTGCGAGCCAGAACGTCGATGTTTTCAGTGTATTTCCACGACACTGTAAATGAGATTTATCTTGTTGTCGAGCAGCTTTTTGTGGAACCTGTTTGAAGTTATGACCATGTCTGAAAACGCTTTAATTGCTGCAACCTATTTTACTTTTGTACTTTGCTGTCTGTCGAGTTTATGTGAGTCTGTCTGAGCGTAACGAGTCACGTCAGTTCATTCGTACGGCGCGTTCAGATCGAAACGCTGCACGACACCAAAACAAAGAACCAGAGACAAACGCGTCGAGGTGGTTCTGGCTATCGCACGAGCGAGCTACTCAGGACTCACGGGTCGGACCACGCTCTGCATTTATTTTTGACCTCAGCTACACGGTGGAGGCTTCAGCTACAAAGCAACTTACCTGTTTGTTATCTGGCTTCTCTGAGCCTATAACCGTGATCTACTCCTAAACTCGACCCAGGAATGAAGCTATGATGCCGTCCAACTAAAAGCGGCACCAGAAGACCACCGTGGACAGGCCCGGAGTTGCATAATTCTCACATGTAATCCTGAACCAGTCAGAGGAATTAAAACATATTAAACAGGCTTAAAAAGTTGCTGCAGTCAAAGCAAAGGAGGGGATGCTGACAGCAGGTCTGTAGTGGAATTAGAACTGAGCATAGCCAGTAAATGAACACATTGTTTGGATATTCTTTAGGATCACCTGTTAAATGGTGTCGGGAGCAAGTAAAGAACAAACACAAAAACATATTTCCACCAGGTAAGCAGGCTTTACTTATAATCCTATACGGTTAACAAGTCCGAGGCCTCGGCGCTTTAATCACTCCCTGTTGTCGGATTACATCGCTGCACAAAGGTCCATAGAACAAGGAAACGGCCGTGGAGTTGTAAAAACTCTTGTCGTCATCAGAGATGCTCTTACTGTCTGCGTGCACGGTGATCCCTTTTTCTAACTGAGTGGCCGGCAGCTGTTTTACTGCAACGAGCTGCAGGAACTGAACGACGGTCATGAGTCTGAACAGCAGCAAAATCTTTCCCTCGTTATTATTAACATCTTATTGCTACTGCACAGCGCACTGAGGAGCAGTCACTGAATAAACGGAGCTAAACCTGGAGTTACTAACCTGAACCGAAGCGGTTTCATGTCATGTCTTGTATGATAATGGTCACTTATAGAGAGGAACTTAGGGAATAAAAAGGGAGACATTCAACAAATAGAGCAAAAACAGGGATTCTGAAGTGATCCAGTTAGACAAAAATACATCACATCTGTGCATCTACATTGCTAAAAAACAAAACAAAAACCCTTGATTTGGCGACTAAGAATAATAATAATCCCAGTGCTACCCCTCAGTCAGAGTCATGTAACGATGTAGATGTTCAGATCTTCTGTGCAGGCAGGCGGCACACATGCATACGATGCTGCAAATGTTTGTGAGGAGTTAAAAAGAGCTCCGGCTTCAGTTTCACTAAGAGGGAAGAGTGTGCAGCTTATGAATATCTGCAATATCAGGGGTGAGCTGAGGTGATGTGATGACTGCATACATCTGCTATTTACAATAAGGCGGGAGGGGGGAAAAGACTGTACGCTGCAGCCGCCGCACACACCCGTTCCCCCAGTTCAAATATTAATATAACGCGCTCTGACCCAAACACAGCCGCTCTACCATGTCACTGCAGCAGATTTTTTATTTTTTTTTTTCCTTCCCCTACTCACAACATGCTTGTCTTTGCACTATCCACTGGGGTGACTTATGAATCTTTTATCAAAACTGGCCTAATTGCTTAACCATCCATGTCCCGGTCCAGCGGTGAATGGTGGGAGGGGAGGCTGGGCATGCCATAATCGTCATAAAAACAACAAGCAAAGACGCCAGCTTTGTTCCACCTCTGACCAGTCCGCCTTTCCCTCTGCGTCTCTGTGGGCTCTATTTATCCAAAGGTAGTCACATTCTGGCTTTCATTCATTCAGTAAGTCACTCATTCATTCATTCGTTCGTTCTGGGGAGACCGTGTGATGCTGAGACACTGTTATGTGAACGTTGACAACTTCAGGGGGAAAAAAGTGTTATTTCCCTCCTTTGCTTCCTTCTATATGGAGAGCAGCTTTACTGATGCAAACAAACAATAACCAGACATAAAAAATTCACCAGCATCTGGGCAACTTCACAGCAAATCAGCGAGCGAGCGTCTGCAGCAGAGGGAACGAAGCTCCTCTTCTTCAACTCCACGCCAGGACACAAACAAGCATGAGGCCATTACTGCTTCTCTTTGACTATTTTCTCTGGTGCGTTCCACAGAAAACGAGGAGTAGCGCGCTCAGCTTCCTGTGCTCACCCGATCTGCACTTGCACACCAACAACAAAAAAAAGAACTTTCCCTTCTGTTCTCACTCCCACTCTCTGCCCTGGTTCACAGCAAGAGGAAGCTGCTGCTGCTGCTTCAGGGTCAGAGCTGAGCAGCAGTTTGAGAAAAAAAGAAAGGAGAGGAGAGGACTGGCAAAAGTCTGTGGGGAGTTTCAAACTCCAAAACCATCTCTTCGAGTTCCTGGGAGCTGACTAGAAAGTCCCAGGAAACTCCCTGCTATCCCTGCTCTGAGGACACAACAGCTGCAGAGTCTCACTTTTCGCAGGCTCTGGTCATCTGAACTCAACCTCCATAAAAAATAACAGAAATAATCACATTAAAAAGCAAAACTAAAGCGCTCTCCTGTGATATAAAGTCTGGACTTATTGGTTTACACGTGTTTCTATGAACACTAATCTTTTTTTTTATCATTAGTGCACTAATTAAAGAATTTATTTTTATTTTTTTGAGTTGAAACAAACCCAAAAATGTTTCTTACTAAAGGGTCTTAAAATATTAAAAGCTGTTTTCATCACCTCCCTTTGTTTGGAAATAACTGAAAGCTGTCATTCCTCACAGCTGGCGCTCAACTGGAATCCGTTTTGCAAACGCTTTTCCCTGAATAAGTCAATATCAGGGCTGTGTGTGTGTGTGTGTGTGTGTGTGTGTACGCCTGTGCCTGTGCGCATAATTACAGATGCGCCATTCCTCCTAAGCTGTCATTAGAAAAAGGGAATGGGAATGACTCCAGGCTACAACCACCGCTTGCGGTTACGTAACATGTTCTTCTCGGATCCTGTCTTATCCCGGAGACAGCTGAAAATCTCCCCCGTCCTGCACAGCCTGTTGTCTGAAGGAAACGCTCCTCCTCGCAACTTGTTTTTTTTTTTTCTTTTTTCTTTTTCTTTCACTTGAACAGAGAGAAAGGAAGAAAAAGACCGAGCGAGCCTGTGTTTTTGCGCCTTTGTCTGGTTCGGTGATGGTGCGCGTCTCTGCTGCTGCTGTTCCTCTGGTGTCCGTGTGAGGGCGCAAAGAGCCCTGTACTTTTGTCTTTCATCCAGGGATGCTGGTGGTCCTCAGACAAAAGAGAAAAATGATATTCGGAGCGCCACAGGACGGCAGGAGAAGGGCAGAAGGGTTTGGTGTGGAGGAAAACATCACTGAACATCATGCTGGATGAATGACAGTCATCCCGTTTGGCTTTATGTGAAATTAAACTGATAGAAAAGTAAGAATCTCATACATCTGTTTATATTTCACGATATTTTACTAAATAATCCCAGCCTGTGTGGCTTTTCTCACGTTTCACACATAGATAGAAACATTATTTGATCATCACAGGTTGTGCGTAAAAAAGGAAAAAGTGCCCTTTTGCTTGGACAGCTCCTGCCCCGGGTCAGCCTGCTGCAGTGCCCTTGAGCAATCCGAGCAAGACATGTAATCATCAAACAGCCAATGGGGGTTATTGGACTGCTTCAGAGCTGATCCTGGCTTTGACATGCCACTGGAGAGATAAGACAGTTTGCCCGAGGCTATCGATAATATATCATTTTTATTCTTTATTTCTTATTCTTTCTTTTGTTTCCTTTTTTTTGTTGTTGCCTCCTTTGTTTCTTTCTCTCTCCTCTGTGCTCTTTCACGAAACCTTGCCCCTTTCTCTCTCTCTCCGTCTCTCTCTCTCTCTCCTTTTCGTTCTTGCTTACAATGTTTAGGCTATTTTCTCCATTCACCTTGAAAGAAAGCTCCCAGCCAGCCCGTCTCCCGCGCCGCATCAAACCCAGAGCCCGACTGTACCACCCCCCCAAGCCCGGGAGGGAGGAGTCTGTTTTCCTCCCGCAGAACTCAGTGTATAACACTCAGCAGCCAGCCACAATGTGTGTCAGAGGACTGTCTGTGCTCCCAAAGTAGATGACTGCTCCAAATCTGGTGTCTGTATTACTGACTGCGAGATACGAGAAAAATTGGTTCGCACATTATCATCCCAAGTCAGGACGAGGTGAGCATCTTCTCATTTCTACGCAAAAAAGAAAAAGGAAACGTGTCACATTATTTTTTTAGAGACAAAAACACAGTCTCTGTTAGATTTCATTGTTGTCATTCAATTTATTTTCGTGTTTTTTTGAGCGATGGTGACATTTTGTGGAGTGTCTGGTGCGCCTTGGTGAGCCGTTGTTGCACAGTTCGTGCGTCACGGTCACATTTACGCACATTCTCCTGCGAGATTTGTGCGGTTTTTTTAAAACCCCACAGAGGAGTGAGTGTGGAATTAAGTGGAGCAGCTCGTGTGTGTGTCTGTGTGTGGGCTCTGATTCCACAGCGCAGTTTTCAGGTGTGATAGAGCAGAGCGAGGGAGAGAGAGAGAGCGGGGAACGGGGAGAGACGCTCCTTCGCAGCGGGGACTAAAGTATCTTTTGTCTCCTCGCAGGTTTGTCGATTGTGGGATAGAATGCCGGCGATCATAAGTAAAAACTCCGATTTGGAGTTTGACTCCTTACAACCGTGTTTCTACCCGGATGAGGACGACTTCTACTTCTGTGGTCCCGACTCTGCGCCACCGGGGGAGGACATCTGGAAGAAATTCGAGTTGTTGCCCACTCCGCCCCTCTCTCCGAGCCGCGCCGCGCTACCGGGGGAGCCGGCGACTGCCTCCCCGGACGTGGACCCTCTCGGTTTCGGCTTGGGGGACCCACTGGACTGGGCTTCCGAGTTGCTGCTCCTGCCCGAGGACGATATATGGGGAGCATCCGACGATGTGGACCTGTTCGGCTCCGCTTTGGATACTAACCCCAACAGCATCATTATCCAGGACTGTATGTGGAGTGGCTTCTCCGCCAGGGAAAAGCTGGAACGGGTTGTTACGGAGAAACTCGGCAAGGCTATTTCCACGGCCGCGGCGAGCGGCAGGAACGTGTCCGCCAAGGCGCCGGAGGTGGTGAGCCGCAGCTCCATGTCAGAGTGCGTGGACCCCGCGGTAGTGTTCCCCTTCCCGGTCAACAAGAAGAACGGCAGCAGGGACTCATCTGGGACCGTTAACACATCCACGGTGCACGGGAGCGCGCCCAGTGACTCCGGTAAGAATCTGAAGATGCCCTAAAATGATTATTGTTGCTGTTGTCATTATTATAAGCCCCGCTCCCTATCCGGTAGTAGCGGCTGGAGCTTGCTCATATGACTCTCTCAGAATCGGATTACTTCGTTACATTCCACACACACACACACACACACACACACACACACACACACACACACACTCACAGCAACACACGCACAGTGAAGTAGTGACACAGTGAACGAGGTTTATGCAATCAGCAGGCTCTTCATCCGGCAGATGGCAGTAAAATGGGGGAATTGTGTGCCTTACTGAACTCAGTTGGCATCAGAGCCAAACAAAAAGACACCACACACACACACACACACACACACACACACAGACTGAGTGCAGCCAGGACCAGGTTGCAGCAGGAGGAGGAGGTGGAGATGAAAAGGTGTTCAATAATGTGATGAGCTGATAAAGTGTCTGCTTCACGGTGCCGTGGATGCTTTCATTACGCATGGATTAAGGGGACAATTTGCGCACAGTGGGTGAGAAATTGGCACTTACTTTTTAGACAGGCTGCACTTACTGCCTCCCCCCCACCCCCCAAAAAAGTCCAGCTGATAACTAAAATTAGCCTTTAGAAAGAGAACAGGAGGAAAAGTTCAACAGTAAAAAGGAAAGATGGAACAGCACAATAAAGCTCAGGAACACTGGCTGACACTCCTGCTTCTTGTGAGGAGCGGTGTAGGAAGTAATTACGTGTTTAGATTAGGAAATCAGTGCAATGTGTAGTTAATAAGACTTCATCTCCCGTCTATTACCGCCTACGAGTTCCCTAAACAAACACTCACAAGCCCTTATCAGCGTGTTTTCGCTGTGAAACAGTAGTACAAAGGCCTCCAGCTTGGCACAGAGGGCAGACTCAGCCAGCCTTGCCAAACACCTCCTCCACAGCGAAGAAAAGAGGAGAGCCCTGACTGCTTCTCTCTCCCCTTTTTTTTTTTTGGAGGGAGGTGGAGGGAAGGGGAGGCGAGGGAGGGGGGGTGACAGCTTTGAACAAGCGCTCCATCTCGACAGCTGTCTCCCTGGCGCCGCTCCAGTTGCAGGCTTAAAGGGTGGTGATCCGATCGCCTGCCGCCCCGCCGTCCAGCGCGCAGTGCCGCTCCAGTGCGCTTCCGCCGCTTGCAGCGTTAAGACGCATCCCCTCCTTTGTGCTCCAGGCCATTCTTCACTTGTGTTTTTCCATCAAGCGAATTTTAAAAAGAAAATGTAGGTTTATCCCTTGTGTCAGACTAGTCTGAATATTTAAAAAAAAAAAAAAAAGCCTTAAAAGTGACACCCCAACCCCCTCACCTCCTCCTCCCCCCAAAAACATCAGCTGTACAGATGGAAGGAAGACTTTATCTCCCTAAACATGGATGTTCTAAGCTCCTTCTTCTATTTATGTTCCTCCCAGCTCTATTAAAGTAGCTGTTCCATTCTGAGAGTGAAACACCAAAGAGCCAAATCCCAGCCTCACATGTGGCTCAGTCAGTCAGTCAGTCAGTCAGTCAGTCAGTCAGTCAGTCACACCCCCACATGCAGCCAGCTGTGCCCGGCTTTTGTTTTGATGGCAACAGCAGACTTGTTTGTGTGCCGCATGTGTGTCGAGGCAGCATCCTGGTGCAGTAGGTGTCTGAAGTGGGTTGCCATAAGCTGTAAAATGCCACACTCTTCAGATGCTCCTGAGCTGATAATGAGGAGCCATTATCACAAAGGCATTTTAACTGGGCCTCACACTCGCTGCCTCACGATTGGTCACTTCCTCTCAACCTTCAAAAGCTACCCCTGGGTAATAAGGCTGGGCTTCTTAGCTTTTTTAGCTCAGGTATTAAAGATCAAGAGCTCAGCTGGAAATGAGATTTTTCTTTTTTCTTTTTTTAAAACTTCATCGGAGGTCAAAGTGAAGTTCTTAGTGCCGCTGACTGGAGCCGCGCTGATAAAACCGAAAGCGTCGCACTAAAACTGTCTCATCTCACTGGAGGAGATTAGAAGTTTTGAAGGAGGGAGACAGAATGAAAGGCAGAAATCCAACCTGTCTGCTCAGCACCGAGGCTGAACAAGTCAATGCCTGCAGAATAGGTTTCTAGAGAAGTGACTGACACTAAGCATTAAGAGGTTTCTGCTTGTGCAAACAGCATTGGGCAACATTCTCGCTCCCACACACTCTCGCTTGATCCCACACTCTCGTACATACCTGTCACCTGCTGGTACACATGCATGACATAGTGAGAATACCTGGTATGTCACAGCAATTAAGTCACTCACGTTGTTTTCTTTTCACAGAGGAGGAAGATGACGATGAAGAAGAAGAGGAGGAAGATGAAGAAGAAGAGGAGGAAGAAGAGGAGGACGACGAGGAGGAGGAAGAGGAGGACGAGGAGGAGATTGACGTGGTCACGGTAGAGAAGAGGCGCTCCACAATCAGCAAGGCGTCCCCCATGGCCACAGGCACCGTCACCATCTCCGTACATCCCAAGAGCCAAGACGCAAGAGGACATGTCTCAGGGTCCGGCGTGGTGAGTCGGTTCGTCAGCCGAGCCCCTCAGGAGCTGATCCTGAAGAGGAGCTCGGTCCACCAGCAGCAACACAACTACGCAGCCCCGTCGCCGTACGCCTCGGACGACGATCCCACCCCGCCTCCAAAGAAGCAGAAGACGTCAGATGCCCCCCGCCCCCCCATCAGGACCATCTCCTCGTCCTCCTCCTCCTCGTCCTGCAGCTCCGTCACCAGCACGTCAGGGCCGCGCAGCAAGCGCAGCACCAGCGGGGACAGCAGCCCACGCGGCAGCTCCGACTCGGAGGACAGCGAGCGCCGACGCAACCACAACATCCTGGAGCGCCAGCGCCGCAACGACCTGCGCTCCAGCTTCCTGACGCTGCGCGACCACGTGCCGGAGCTGGCGCACAACGAGAAGGCGGCGAAGGTGCTGATCCTGAAGAAGGCCACCGAGTACGTGAGTTCGTTAGAGACGGAGGAGATGAGGCTCCAGCAGGAGAAGGACAGGCTGCAGGCCCGCAGGCAACAGCTGATGCGCAGGCTGGAGCAGGCCAGGACTCGCTAACAGACAACCGCTACAACACAGAAACACTCACATATACCCTGGATGACCTCCCCCCCACTACACACACTCAGTCTGAATCACAATTCGATGCGAACACAGGCCTCTACACTCACGCACAGGCCTGCATATCTGCTTAAACATCTTAGAGGACGTTCATCTGCAGATGCCGACACACAAACACACCTGGAGGGGACGACGGCGGTGGCGGGGGGGAGGCTGTCGCCGGAGGGACGCTCGGACTTTCACTGCCGCCACTTTTTTTGCACATTTGTTGACGTTAAGAATGTTTAGGGTTTACTTTTTCAATCCAGTCACATTGAGGAAAAAGATGAAAAGAGCGAGGAAGGAGAGAGGACACACTTTTTTTTTTTGGTCTTCCCTTCCTCTGTTTTTTTTTTTTTTTTTTT